GGCAGGCGTGCCGAGAGGGGTGGGCCCCCGGGCGGCGACGGGGGGGCCGGTGGCCCCGCACCCCAACGCCGCAACAAAAAAGGAAGAGGCCGCCAAAAAAAAAAAAAAAAAAAAAAAAAAAAAAAAAAAATCTACTCATGAGGTAGAGTTGAATCTACCACAGCAGCTGTTTCTGCCTCTTTGTAAGGAAGACACTAAAGTAAGGAAAAAATCCCACACTAGAGACACTGGAGGTTGATGAGTAAAGGCGAACTTACACCCCTGAATTCTTCATCTCCTGACCGGAAGTCACCAGCTCCATCATCTACCAAACACAAAGGAATAGGTAAAGTCAGCAGCTCGGCAGCTGGCCCACTCCCTGTTTTCACCTCCCAAACTCACTGTCCAGAGTGACTGCGCTTGTCCTGACTACAGTGGGGATTTTGAGAGTGCAGGTGACACACACAGCCCTTGAGTTCCTGTGTGTCCCCTGTCCAGACAAGCAGGCAGAACACCAAGCATGCAACTGACTCATACACAGCTGGGCCTACTGGCCCCAGGGCATACCGTTTTCAGAAAAATCTCCTTCACTGTCAGCCCGGGCTTGTTTGGTGTCTGGCTCATCGTAAATCTGCAACTGCTTCCGTTTCCTGCCCAAGCTATCTGGGCCGCAGCGATCAAACTCTCTCCGCCTAGGCTACAGACAAAAGCATATTCCAATGCGTTGCTTACTCGGACGGTTAACATACCCCAGAGAAATGAAGAACAAAGAGGTTGTAAGATCAGAGAACAAGGACAGAAAAGGTCTTTTCAGAAAGCAAAGAAATACAACATGGTTGGACGCCCCCACCCCAACCAAAACACAAAAATTTTATGCTGAGTGAAAGAACCCAGACACAAAAGGCCAAGTATTATATGACTGCATTCATATGAAACGTCCAGAAAAAACAAATCTACAGAGACAGAAAGTACATTAGTGGCTGCCAGGGGCTGGGGGAGAGAACGGGGAATGACTGCTAATAACAGACGTTTCTTTCTGGGATGACGGAAATGCTCCAAAATTACGTGGTGGTGAAGGATGCACAATTCTGTACGTTTTTACTAAAAGTTGAAGTGCATTTTAAAATATGAGTGAATCTTACAGACAAAGCTATTTAAAAGGAAAAGCAAATAAGGCAGATGAGAACTTGGCAAGGGCATACCCGATCTCTCATCCGGGTCTGTGACCGGCCACATCCGTAGGGCATAGAGCTGTCATAACCACCTGCCCCCTGCATGCCCATCACGCCAAAATCAGGGGCCATGGACTGGGAGAAGAGGGAAGGTGGAGGCCTGCTGGCGGAGGGGCCTCCCAGGCCCCGCCCACCCACATAGTTCATTTCCGTCCATGGAGCAGAAAGAGGCTCAGAAGAGGCTGCAGGTGGCATGAAGGGGTCGCTGCGCATAAAGGTGCCGGGGTTGCTGCGGTCCTGGAAGCGGCCCTGGCCTCGGCCCCGCATGAAGTCATCGAGGGAGCCCCGCTCACGGGCTGGGTCCCGGCAGTCACTGTACTGACCACCAAAGCCACCATTGCGGTCGGGCCCCAGGTCAAAGTCATAGTCGTAGCTGTAGCTGGGGCGGTAAGGATTGTGCTCGGGCAGGCAAGGCCTGGAATCATAGGACTCGAACGACTGGAAGCGGAAGGAGCTGCAAAGAAAGCACAACCCATCACCACACTGTCCGGGCACCTCAACGCCTCCTGCAAAGCTGACTTCCCTATATTCAGAACAGCAAAGCCAAACCACCACGCATCCCTCCTAAATGCTCAGAAAATAAACAGACCAAAATCCCTTTCAAACACTGTTGAAAAGGGGCATGAAGCCCTGGCCACAGGAATGGGGGGAGTCTGCTAGGCGCCTGATACAGAAATAAGGAGTCTGGCACAGTTTAGCTAACAGTCATGCCCTAAGCCCCACCACTCAAGAAACCAGCAAGTCCTATTACATACCTCGGCCCCAACAATGGCTCAATTTATCTATCCTACAGTCAGGAGGGAGCTGGGGAAGAGCCCTCCCTGGAAGAGCAGGTGCCCACTCCCGTCTACACAAAGCTGGGCATGGGGGATCCCCCGGGAAGGGCTCAGGTCTATAATCACCTCTCCCGGTCCTGCATGCCCTCCCCACTGCCGCTGCTCCCGCCCCTGCCTCCTTCCTTGGACATCATGTCCAAACGCTGGTTGATCTTGGCAATGAGGGAGTCGGAATTGTCGGTGCACGGCTCTGGGCCATAAGAAGCCATATGCATGGCAGGGCCCCCAGGTGCCAGGCCATCACTGGCCTTGGTGGCCTCCCATGAGGCTGGGCCGTAGCTGTAGGTTGCTCCTGTGGTGACGCTGGTGTTCTGGGCACCATAATAATTGTAGTTTTCATAACCTGACAGAGGGAAGAAAAACTAAATCAGATCTCAGCAGCCACAAGGCCAGCCCATGGTGGACAAGTCTGGGGAGGAGCACCCACTGCCCACGGAGAAGGAAAAGGTTCACGGGTCCAAGTGCTTCTGGCATTACCCCAACACTGCACAAGTCATCTGCCAAGAGGCAGCAGGAGGAGGGCAGGGGCACGGCCTCAACTCTGAGCAATGGGTTTTCTATACCAAATCCTAAGACTTGCTTCTCATCCAAAGCGAGAGCCCAGGAGCCAGCAGCTGGGACTACTGACGGACCCACCAAAGAGGTGCTGCTCCCAGAATACAACCACAACTCTCCCCAACCCCATATCCAGCAAGTTCCCCTGGAGGCCTGCCCCCCCAGCCCTCCTCAACACCTCAGGCCCAGTCTGTTGAGCCTTCACAACAGCTGTGAGCACATCTAGGAGTGGACTTGGGGATCCCTGCACCCCAGCCTCTCTAGGTAGCTGATCGGAGGCCCACTCACCCACCCATGGACCCCCGGAAGGGCCTACCTTGCCAACTGGCCACACCAGTTCCATATGCACCTTAGAAGAAACAAAAACATACGAATTTTGTTTGCAAAACAAAGGCATCTGAGACACATCCCCTCCCCCCACCACAGCCGGGTGCTGAAGAACAGTTATCACCTCATCCACTATGCACAGGCCAGGGCTGAGGGTGGCTATGTCAGTGCTCCAGGAGGCACCCTTGGCTGCCCATTATGGCCAGGAAAGGCTGCAGTCCACTAGCTGTAAAACTCGTTTCCTACAGAGCACTCAGCGGAGCACAGTCAGGGCTTCTCTCCTAAGCAAGCCTGATCTCCTCCATTAGGGCAACAGAAAGGACACAGCAGCCTTTTTCCAGGAAGCTTGTCCAGCGTGGGCCACCAGCCAAGAGGCCGCCCAGGCCAGGTCCCTAGGTAGAGAGCCCTCCTAAAGTGCCAGTTCTCACCAGGAGCCAGAACTAAGGCACTGCCAACAGCACGGGGAGTGCACTGGTGGAAAATCATGTCCCTAACTCAACTGAGCAAGGGGTCATCATGTGCCTGAATAACACAGACCTCCTCCTGGGAAACTCAGTGATGGGCAGAAAAGTCACCCTGCTCCCAGTGGTGCTAGGGCCAAGCTCCAGGCTCAGAAAACAAAGTAAACCCTTATCCCATCCCCTGGAACAGATGCTGGCAAAAAGAAGAAAACCTCGCCCACCAAAAAGCACATTCTGGTACTTCAAACACACTTAGCACCATGATATAGACTCACAAGCAGGGTCAGCAAACGGGCCAAATCTAGTCCATAGCCCAGTTTTTGTAGGGCCTGCAAGCTAAGAATGGGTTTTATGTTTTTAAATGGTCAGGAAAGAAAAAAAAACATAATCAAAAGAATACTTCATAACATACGAATTTTGACAAAAGACACATCATTTACACATTTGTCAAAACTCATAGAACTGTTTTAACAGAGTTAACGTGAATATAAACTCTAGGCTATGGTTAATAACAATACATCAACGTTGGCTTCTAAATTGTAACATATAAGGGAACCGTGCTGGGGTGAAGGTAGGGGGAGTGTGTGGAATTCTACGTACTATCTGCTCAATCCTATAAATCTAAAGCTACTAAAAAATAAAGTCTATTAATTATAAAAACCTTTCGTCATACCCTCGGCTATCTACTTAGAATTAAACAACAAAAGCTGTTAAAAGAAAGACTATTCCTCAACACATGAAAATCATACGATATGCAAATTCCAGTGTCTTTAAGTAAATATTATCGGCACACAGGCCTACCTACTTGTTTATAAACTGTCTATGGTGGCTTTTGCACTACAGAGACCATGCAGCCTGCAAAGCGCCCCCAAATTTACTATCTGGCCCTTTACAAAAAAGGTTTCTTGGTCCCACCTATGTCATGCTGGTGCTGGGGGGTGGGTAGCCCATGCCTCCCTGAAAAGCAGGTCCATCCCACTTACCCTGGGTGTTGGTAGGTCCAGCACTCCATGCCCCATAGCCTGTGAACAGATCTGTGAGTTAGGGTCATATGTGTCATACCAGAGAACAAGTGCTTCTGAGATGCTCTGAGGAACATAAAAGAATCTCCTTGAAGTAGTTCAGTGCCAGCCTTACAAGAAGGCAGCACAACCACAACAATGTCTCCTTAAAAGTCATCCCACAGCTGGGTTTTGCATTATCCACTCCACCTGCCTGAGGTCAAAGCAGAAAAAAGAGGAGGTGGATGGGCTTCCGGGACAGTTCTGTCCATTGCCTGATGAGGGACCTTGACCTAAGCCTCAACCCGCAGCTGAGGAAGACACAGAACCAGCTACCAGCTAGCTCATCATTAGGACACAGTCCCCCGCCCCCACCCCAAGCAGCCATAAGTATCCCACAACTGAGAACAAACTTCGAAAATCTGGAGACAACAGCTGTGCCTCTCTACGCCTCGCTTCTGTGTGACTCTGAACCGTCCAATGCTCCGCTGGGCTTTTAAGTCCCAGGGCTTCAGCCTGGCCCTAAGGCATCAGACTGCACTCCTCTCTGTGGTGGCTCCCTCTGCCCCTCCAGACATTCCCATGATAGCATCTGTCTAGCCCTGCTTCATCTGTGTCCCTGGAGCCTGGCACAGAGCTGGGCACGGGCAACCATTCATACCTGTCAAACGACTTCACCTTTACAAAGCCTCCTCTCTCTCAAATACATCCTTTCTCTCCTACCAGGACAACCCAAACCACTGAGTGCCTACTGTATGCCAACACACGACGGGCACTCAGCACACATTCGTTGTGACATTCAGAGAATGACATTCAGAGATGTTGTGGGAGCTAAGGCTCAGAGGTTAGGGGACTTGATCCAAAGTCACCCTGCTGAAGGTTACGACCTCCCCATGTCACACAGCTTTCCACATCTGTGCAGCAGAAAGGCAGTGATTCTAACAGCAACTGACCAACTGTGGGGCACTGGTCTAACTAAGGAGCATGTGGTATTCACATAACCTCACAATGACCCTTGAGATAGGTACTACTTACTCTGTCATACACAGAGACTCCAGAGGATAAGTCACTTGCCCAAGAACATGGAGCTGAGGAGAACAAGGACCTGGACCCAGATCGAGGTGCCTCCTATGGCCAAAGAGTAACTCTTAAGCCTCAACAAGTCTTAGGAAATAACTCTAGATGGAAAAGCTACAGAAGGATTCAGGGAGGCCTCTGCATCTAAACCGAGTCTGAAAAGGTTTTTAGTAAGTAGGAAGATGGGCGTGTGTGTGTGTTTGTGTGTGTGTGTGACCTCTCCAAGCTAAGGGCATGCATAAAGCAGAATTACTACTAGCTGAAAACTCTAGTAGGGAGGCAGGTAAAGAAAAGTGAGATCCAGTCACACTGCAGAAAAGACAGGAGTACCAGGTAGAGCCACAAGCACACCATGCATCTCAGGACCTCTCTGCTTTGCAATTCCTGCTGCTGGCCTCCTGCTAATGCTGCCACCTTTCAAAACATGCGCCTTCGCTGCGGCAGCCATGATCAGATAGCTTGCTTCTCGAACCTCATATACCTGAATAGGGATCTGCGCCGGGTCAAGCCCAACCCTGCATATTCCAACTGTTCCCTGCGGGCAAACGCGGCTTCCAGCATAGAGCAAAGGCCTCCCAGCATAGAGCAAAGGCCTCCCAGGAGGCTCAGATTCCAAAGACTGAGAGCAGATCGCCCGAGAAGGTCTGTCCTGCCGCAGGCCCTGAAACCCAAGTGAGTAAGGGCACGTTCCCTCTCACACAGCCCCTCTGGCGTTTCCAGGCCACCACAAAGGACTGCCTTAAGGAAAGCCCCCAATCTGTCACGACCCCAGAGCTCATCGGGTTTCCAAGCTTTGACCAAGATACCCCGCATCTGACCCTTAAATGTGTCGTCCCCGATCTGCACGAGCTAGGTCCGCGGTAGGCGCCCAGTGAGGCTAACCACTGCAGAGGCCGCACTAGGCCCCGCTGCTCTGCACCGCGGGCCTGGCGGGGTCCATACGGCTTCCGGGACCGGCGTCCCAGGTCACGTGTGCCGCGCGGAGGCCCCAGCCAAGCCTCGCAGGTCCCCGGACAGGCCCGACGGCCCGAAAAGAGGCAGCGGTTCCACCTCGGCCCCCGGCCGAAGACCCCGCGCCCCACAAACTCGCGCCATAGCTCCGCCCCCCGGCGCCGCCATTTTGTGGCGTCTTCCAAAAGGGACAGCAAGCCTGCTAGCGGCGAGGATCCGCAGGGCCCGGCCAACCCCGCCGGGGTTAAGGAACTGAAACTGCCCCAACCGCCTGAGGCGCCCCCCGAAGCCCGCCGCAGCGTCGGCACGCCGAAATCTGCCAACTTCCTCAGGCCCTGTCGGCCAATCCGCACGCAGCGCCCCGGGAGCGACGGGGCCGAGATCCAATAAGCTGCGCGCGCGCGCCCCTGTCGCCTCGCCGCAGGGCCGGACTGCGGTAACCGCGCTCGGGTGTAGTCCCCGGCCCGCAGCCCTCTGCGTGGCCGTGGCCCTGCCGCCCGGGCACCACCTGCCGGTCCCACCCCGCACTGAGTTGCCCACACTAACCTCCGTAGCCCTGCTCCATGTCTTCAGCTCGGCCCGCCAGCAGCTCCTTTTTCTAAGCCACCACAGGACGCATGCGCTCAACGCACTTCCCGCCGTCCTCTACTGGTAGACCAGACGCATGTGTCACCCCTTCCACGGGCTACCATTGGCTGGAGTTCACAGCGGGACCGCCCTTACCACCCCAGCTGGCCTTCCGGTTGTTGTGGACCGGTGTTCACAGCACCCTGGGAGTTTTGGTCCGGACCGCGGTGCCTTGCTGCTCACAGGCGTATCGCTTCTCCTCCCCGCCAGTGCGCAGGCGCAACCCACCCTTCCCAGGCCCCACCCGCAGGCACACACAGCCCAGCGGCTAGGTGCCGACACCCTCCCACGCGGACCGCGCCGCACATAGACAAAAGAGGAAGAGGTAAGATGGGAAGAACTTTATTAGACTCGGCTTGCAGCCTCGGCCACGCGGGCCCCGCCCGCCCCGGGCCCGGGTCATGGAGCGCCCCCCCCGCCCTCCTCGTCGTCGTCATCAGCCTCCACGTCCAGGCCCGGGATGCCTCGGATCTGGCGCTCCAGCGCACCGCCCAGTAGGGGCACGGCCGCCTCTTCGTCTTCCTCGGGGGGCGGCGGTGGGGGCGGGGATGCGGCCCCGGGGGCCGGCTCCGGGGGCACTGGGGGCTGCGCCGGCGCGCCCTCTGCACCCTCCGCGACCCCTGCCGCTTCGACCAGCGCCCCCTCATCCAGGGCACCGCCCTCGGCCTCCTCCTGTTCCTTCTCCTCCTCCGGGCTGTCGGTGAAAGGGTTCTCGCCCTGCGGAGAGGGGCGCCATACTGAAGAAAGGGAGGACCCGCGGGGCTGGGGCCGGGACCAGGACCAGGGGCTGGGGCCGGGACCGGGACCAGGACCAGGGGCTGGGGCCGGGGCCGGGGCCAGCATGCCAGGGGCGTGCAGCTCACCTTCAGATAGCGCTCCAGCTTCTTGCTGATTAGCTTGTTGTTGAGGATGCTGCGAGCCACCATGAGCGAGGACTTCTTAGACTGCTCCATCATGAGCTACGGGCAAGGCAGGCAGGGCTGCAGAGGCTGCCCCAGGTATCCAAAACTCCCCACCCCACCCCGCCGGATCGGGCAGAGACCACTCACACCCGCACACCTCTCCACCTCCACCTCGGGGCCCAGCGCCGCCAATGACTACTACCAGATTGCGTAGTTCTGTAAGCACACCCTTGGGTACAAGCGTGGGTCCACTCTACAAGCATGGAGCCACGACCCGATTTGATCTTTGCTCAAATGCTCCATCTTTCCATACCATACTTACTGTATGTAACTGATTACAGACATATGTCTTTACAGCTGTACTGCAGAAATCTGATTTGCTTACTTAAAAATTATAAGCAGCGAACAAATAAAAAAACCTACTAAAAACCAAATGTGCAACACCTAACAAGGGGGCAAATGCCCTAAAATGCATGGAACTCTTTAGGATAAGCAGGGAGGATATAAAAGCAGGAATACGAATGTCAAACAGTGTACTTTAATGATATACATCCTTTTAATCCATAGGATTCCCAGGAGGAAGAATTATACCCGCTAATGTAAAGGTTGAAAAGAGACACTTATACTCTGTTGGTGAGAGGCTCAACTGTTTATTTTCTGGAAAACAGTTGGATAGAATATATCAAAAGTAAAAATTTCTCAGTAATTCCTTCCCAGAGTCTAGCCTAAGTTTAAAATTGGAAACATGCATGCACATTGATTGCAGTAGTGAAAAACTGGAAAGCACCTTAATGTTCTTCAGTGGAGAAGTGGTTAAGTAAATCAAACATTCAAAAGAACACCATGCGGTCCTTAAAGTAGGGCTCAGGGACAGTGTGCACAGCATGCCAGAGCCTTTCCCTCTGGGAGGATTTATACCAAAATGCTACATGATTTTCTCGGTGGTGAGAATGAAGGCAACTCTTACTTCCATCATTAATGCAAGTAATGGTAATGCAAGTATAAAGCCATAAACAGGAAAAACAGGTAAAGCTATTTTTGGAGGAGTGGGGAAGTTGATCTCCAGGACCTCTACTCTACCCTAGCCACTCTATTATCACATTTCAGAAAATCATCTCACTTTCTGTTTCTACTCCCTTTCCCCACCTTCATCTTTTTTTCCTTACATATTTTTCTCTACTACTTGGGGAAAATATTAATAGCCCTCATGCATGCTGAAAATGAAACAAAGATACACAAAAGAAAACTGCCTACATATTGGTTTGTCCTTGTGGGGAATAAAAGGGATAACTGGTTCCAGTCACAGGTGTAGTTGTGGGTACTTTAAGGTTTGGCACACTTACAAGGCTGTAGTAGAAATAGATATCCCATGGATATTACACGTTAAACTATGTGTTATCTGCAGAACACCCAGTCTCAATGTGCACACCGCCGACTACAGCTACAGAAGCGTTCCTTTAGCTGTGACCCAATTTACTCTGGATAAGAGCAGAACCGGTTCACATTGCATTATTTATAAAGTTACCTGCTGTTTGCTTTCAGTATTTTTGCTACACTCATTATATTTGCATTTAAATGTTTTAGGCAACTTAAGAACGAATGTACAAGATGCAGTAAAAATGAATTGCTTGGGCTTCCCTGGTGGCGCAGTGGTTAAGAATACACCTGCCAATGCAGGGGACATGGGTTTGAGCCCTGGTCTGTGGAAGATCCCACATGCCGCGGAGCAACTAAGCCCATGCGCCCCAACTACTGAGCCTGTGCTCTAGAGCCCGTGAGCCACAACTACCGAAGCCCATGAGCCTAGAGCCTGTGCTCCACAACAAAAGAAGCCACTGCAATGAGAAGCCCACGCATGGCAACGAAGAGCAGCCCCTGCTCGCCGCAACTAGAGAAAGCCCACGTGCAGCAACGAAGACCCAACACAGCCAAAAATAAATAAATAAAAATTTAAAAAAAAATGAATTGCTTGATATCCAGTACTTCATGTATATCAAGCACAGTAGTAAAACAAAAAAAACCCATATATTTAATTTTTCTTAAGTTTTTTTTTGCTTTTGTGATTTTTGATGCTTGACTAACATGCATGTGCTGTAAAAATAGTTAACATGGAACTTGAGATGATGGCTTTTTTAATGTCTTATGAGATTTTCATGAACAATTCAAGCATAATTGTTAAGAACACGTGTATTAAGTTCATGTTAAGTGGAAAGAAAGTTTTATGAACGGAGAAAAAAAAAGATGCACAATTAGGATACTATTCTCACTCGCCAATACATTATCCTCCTCCCTTTAGGTGCACAGATGGACACACCAGAATCTCTCCCAACTGAGGCACACTTACAATGTTTTCAGATTTTTGCTACAACAACCACATACCACATACTAGCAGACCTTATAAGAAATACCAAAGGAGGTTCTTCAAGCAGAAAGGAAGTGATCCCAGACAATAATGCAAATCCACATGAAAGAACAATAAAGGTAATTATGTAATTACAAAAAACACTACAAATGCAATATGTTTTCCTGTCTTCTCAACTGGTTTAAAAAGGAGTTGTATAAAACTATACATATATTTAAATATTAAAAATATATATAGTTCTAAATACATATAAATAATTGTATTGTTTGGTCTGTAACAGAGAAATGTAATATATTTGCCAATAATGGCACAAAGAAGGTTGGGGGAGTAAAATTGTATTGGGCTAATAAGGAAATGACTGTAGATGGTAACTTCAATCCACAGGAAGAATTCAAATGAAGAGAACCAGTAATGAGCAATAAGAAGGCCAATATAACAAAAACTAGAAATATGTAACTGCTCTCCTTTCTTCTGTCAGCTTCCTTAAAAGACAAATTATATAAAGTAATAATTACATTGTATTACATTATTGGCTTTGTACCACATACAGAGGTACTACTTTACATAACAAAAACCTCCTATGTAGAGAGGTACATAGGAGTAACTTAATCTCACTGAAATTAAGTTATTGTATCTAAAGGAAAACTTAAAAAGTTAATATGTACAAGGTAAGGCCTAGAGAAACCACTAGGAAAATAATGCCCCAAAATGCAGTGCAAAAAAACCATTAAAGAAAATTAAATGTTATACTAAAGAAATACTTAATACAAAGAAAGCAGTGAAGCGTGAATAGAAGAATGATGTAAATCTAATAATATCAACAATACTGTTAAATGTGAATGAATTAAACAATCCAGTCAAAAGGCAGAGACTGTCAAACTGGATAGAAAAACAAGATCAAATTATATGCTATTCATAGGAGATACACTTTAGATCCAACAGATTCAATAAATAGAAATGAAAAGGATGGGAAAAGATATACAATCATCAACCATAAGAAAAATGAACTGGCTATACTAATAGCAGACAACATAGAGTGTTAAAACAAAAAATGGTACTAAGACAGAAAGGGACATTTTATAAGGATAAAGGGTCACTCCATCAGGAGGATATAACAATTGTAAGCATAGATGCACCTAACAACAGAGCACCAAAATACATAAGACAAAAACCGACAGAAATAAAGGGAGAAACAGACAATTCAACAATAGCTGATATCCCACTGTCAATAATGCATAGAACAACTTGGCAGAAGACCAACAAGGAAATAAAAGGCTTGAACAACACTATAAAACCAAACAAACAAGCATAACAGGTATCTATAGAACACTCCACACAGCAAGAGCAGAAAATCCATTCTTTTCAAATGCACAAGGCACAGCATAGGCCATACACTAGGCCATAGAACAAACTTCAGTAAATTAAAAGGACTGAAATAATAGAATGTATATTCTCTGACCACATTGAATAAAATTAGAAATCAATAAC